TGGGTACAGGAAGAAAACACAAGCGAAACACCAGACGCCGTTGCAACGTCTGGAGCAAAATACTAAATGCGGTGAAAAGCTATGTGTTCGCCTCCCACATTCCTGCGGTTTTCTCTTGGTGATGCTACATCCCCCCTTAAGGCTCTTATTTCGAGCGCCTAAAGGCCCCCTGAAACCCCTCAACGTTTCTGTAAGAGGTGCTTAGGCGCACCAGGTCTCAGGCGACGCTGTCACCCGCGGGCGGGTTTCGCGAAGATGCACAGCACGGAGGGCTGCGAGCTCAATTCCTGTTAAATCAAATCTAAAAAAAAGAAAGAAAGAAAGAAAGAAAAGCCTCGTCACAGGAGCCACTGAAATACTGTCGATTGTCATTTACCTATGCCTTCCACCGAATTAAATTCACACCATAAATACTCTTCTGCTTTCAAATCAGGGAGTTTGCAACGCAGATCGTGTTTCTGCTGCTCTTTCTGACATTAAAAGATTGCCGCAGATTTATGGCTCTCGACGAATCTGGAAGCGATAGCAATTGAAATCGAAAGCCCAAATTCCTGCACGATTTACTCACTGCGATGAGTAAAACAGCAGTTCTAGTTTCCACGGGCAAACTTGTCCTCAATGTCCTAGGAACGGGAATCGGGCCCTTTTTTTTCCCTCCCAGGTTTTCATCTAACGAGGTAAAAATCTCCAGAGCCTCCCGCGGTGGCAGGGAAGCGCTGCTTCCGGCAGCCAACAGGTAAAAAACAATCAAGAGCAGGCAGATGCCCTCCGTAGAGATGCCGGGATCCGACATTCAGAGCTGCACAGAGGCAGAAACGTGTCCTGGATCGGATCCTGTAAATACCATTACATGCTCTCCCAGGCACATCCCACTCACGGCTCTGTCCTCTCTCTCCTCAACGCCACTTACGTGTTACGTGCTGTCATTGTACCAGCTTGTCTTTACACCCCAGAATAATGCGCCTATTATTCTCTTCTCTCCAAAGCTTCCACCTCTAACCGTGTCGTAAAAAATAGCCTTAATAAAACAGTGATAATTACGCCATTATTGTTAACACTACCCATTAAAAATTTAAAAATAGGCTTTCTGGTTTGGTCACCCATTTGTACAGCGTATCAGTTTTTGCGGCACTAAATCGTTGCGCGGTATGTCAAAACTTTCTTCCTTTTTTAAAGACGACGAGACTTGTTTTTATAGAGACACTGAAGGCGCATCGTGGGTTCACAGTCGTAATGGGACAGTATCGGTCAAAAGTTATTGACACCCTGTTGACCGGCGAAGGAAAATTAATATCCCGCAGGTAAGAAGTGTGTGGTGTGTCCTTCCTTCTCCAGGTTTAGCACTTTCAAGGGAAATGCCTGATTTATGAGCATATCACTCTAGCAATGTTTTAGTGTCCCCCTATTATTTCCTTGTTTTGGGAAGGGAGGGTGTTTCGTTCGCTTTTTGTATGCGAGGCACCTTTCAGCAGCGGTAACGCTGAAATCGGCGTATTACCCTTCTAAACGCGGTCGCCCTGGTCTCGCCTCGGCCGTATATCAGCAAGGAAAGCTGTAAACTCGGAGAAATAAATAATTTTGAAAAGTTTTGAAGATAGTTATGACATCCTGGCTGTGACCAAGCGAGCGAGCGAGATTTAATAGGTTTTAAATCTCGGTCTGGAACAGGCGGGGGG